ATAAGAGATACACACATCCTGATAAGAACTTAATGCTCACATTAAATGAATCAACAATACTCTTAAAGATCAGCTAGGAAGATAGACGAAGCTACACTTGAAGAAATATGAATCTTTAAATTTGAACGTTGTTGCAACAATCATCTTCTCTAAATCTACTATATAAGGATCAAGCCTTCAAATTAAAAAAAAAAAAAGAGAAGTGATAGACACAAAATATATGTATACGAAGAAAAATGTTGTACATAAAAGAACAACATTCATTGAGCAGTTCACCTCGATCAAATACTCTGAGAACAAGCTAAAGTACTACAAAGAAGATTTTATCTACAAATCTTGTATCTAGTTCTTTGTAGGTTTTTTGTGTTGTATTTTCATAGCAATCATGTCTAGAAGAGATGAAACTATAATTGTAACTCTTGTCAAATTCATTTGTAAGGGTTGAGCCTAGAGAGGCTTGTGCAAAAGAATACTTAGTGGTTGAGCCTGGAGAGATTTGTGCAAAAGAATGCTTAATGGTAGAGCCTAGAGAGGCTTATGCAAAAGAATACTTGGATTTGAGCCTGAAGAGGCTTGTTGAAAGAATACTTGGGTTTGAGCCTGGAGAGGATTGTTGAAAGAATACGTGGTTTGAGCCAAAAGTGGCTTATGAAAGAATACTTGTATCTTATTGAAGATAGTGAAATTCAATCTGGTTGGATTAAGAATTAGATGTAGTCTCTAGGTTGGAGATGAACCAATATAAAGCACTTGTTCCATTTCATTTTCTTTTAATAATTCGTCTGATCACCTTCCAGTACTTCATCTATTTGCGTTTTCACTACCTCACTACAAAAGTGCGAGTTTTCGATATATAATATTTAACCCCCTTCTAGTGTGTATCTTTTCCTCCAATAACCTTGTTATTAGAACACTCAATATTTATCTTCTTTCTTTATTCTTAGGTGTGCTTTGTTCCTTGAATGAATACTTGCCTTCCTTGGAGGCATTTGCTTTTTTTTTTTTCTAACCTAGCAATAGGGCTTATTGGCCTTGATTTTTTGACCTATCTCTTGATCTTGATCTTAACATTTTTTTGTTATATCCATGATCACTAGGTTTCATGTATCTAAAGTATATTTATATTATCAAGTAACGAATTATATCCTTTATCTGGCACTTTAATTAAGTCATCATAATTGGCGTGACACTTCAATCAGTTGCCCTCTTATGACTTGGTCAATTGGCACTAGATAATATATTATGGTCAATTATGTTTAGTCCAAACCATCTATGCTTTAATTATGAAAAACCTTATTGTTAGGTCAAAAAATAATCCTAGACCCCTTAAACTTTATGGTTAATCATAACAAAGATAGACGTTTTTCTATGAGAAAAGCTTTTCAATCAAATTTTAAGACGAATAGAGATAAAATGAACAGTTATTAGGACATTAAGTATCATAGACTAAACACTTCATCTATAAGATAAATTCATTGTAAATATATCATTTATGGTGTCCGATAATATAATCATCTTTGTCTACATGATTCCTTAACAAATCAAATAGAAAAAGCTTCTTTGGTACTCACAATTCACTAAAGGGTCTTTCGTCAGAAAAAAGGACTAACATATCACATAAAACATAGAAAAGCTACAGGAAAAGTTGTTTCGGACTAACATATACATGGTTCCTCTATTTTGGTATCTAAAAGGTGATAAGTAGCTTCTTTGATTAGATAAGAAGTGATAATTTGGTAAAATGTATTTAATGCACCAACAAACACTTCTCTATATTGAATGAAGATGAAGACAAATGAAGCAAACATGTGAGAGATACTCAAGGATTTGCAATGGTCATCTTCACAAGGCACATATATAAAGATGCTTGAAAATTTAAAAATAGAGAGATCATAGAGTTACACGAACATCATCATACATTTCATTCTTTTTGTAAAAAGTCTTGTACTTAATTGGTTGTATCAATTCTTGATAATAAGACAAATAACATTCCTATCTTACACAACTTTAACTTTGTTTATAGCTTTGAGCTTGGAGAGACTTGATTGCTAAAGAATATTTGGTTGTTAATGTAACGACCCGGCGGGTCACTACACACGGCACAATACACTAGAAACACCAGACAGATAGAACAAGTATATAAATATAGGATCTAGAATATATAGATATACAAAGTTCCAGTCTGACTAGAGTTAGAGTGTACAAAAAGATACATCAATCAATTGCTACACCGAGTAGCTAAACAACAAAAAGACAAACATCCCAAGAGGATTAGCTCCAACTGCCAGCTACAGCCCAACTACCAGCCACCGACCTATTCCTGCTCTGCTCCCATACATAGTATGATCATTGCAGTCCAAACATCATGGAAACAACAAAAGGTAAGCTAGTGTAAAGAAATTAACATACATATATAATATACAAATAGAAATATCTACAGCTATCAGCACACCCGCACAGCTTACACTACACCATAGTCATTCAGCTATATCAGCACCGCTCACCGGCTATAACAGCACCACCATAGTGGCTAACAGCACCGCCATAGCGGCTATAGCAGCACCACAATAGTGGCTAACAGCACCGACATAGCGGCTATAACAACATACAACTCAACAATCAAACAGCACAGCACAATACATCAGCATACAGCATAGCTAGTAGTATTCAACACAGCTTACTACTTACACCTCAACTCATCATTCTAGAGCACAACAATAACATATATAAAGCATTTAAACTTATCAATAACAGCCAACTCAGCACAGCATAACATCAAATTCAGCTTAAAACAACCTCTTTCAGTAATTTCAGCAAAGTTTATCAGTTAATTTGCACATCAAGTTAACACCTTCTTGCGCGCCCGGCGTACCCATGGTTGCGCCCGGCGTGGCACATCCAGAGGTCACCAGGGGACCAGCGCGCTCGGCGCAAGCATACTCGCGCCTGGTGTGCCTCAGCCAGAGAACCCAAGGCTCTCACGTGCCTGGCGCAATATTCAATTGCGCCCAGTGCAAGCCCAGGCAGAGACTCAAGGGAGTCTCACGCGCCCGGCTTAGCCTAACCCGCGCCCAGCGTGGGGAAGGCAGAGACCTAATGAATGGCTGCTCTTTCCTAGTCAGCTGGGTCAGAGGCGCTACTATCTTAGAGAATCCTTCAATGAACCTCCGATAGTAACCCGCTAATCCCACAAAGACCCGAATATCCGTGACAGACCTCGGGCGCTCCCACTGCAACACCGACTCCACCTTAGCCGGATCAACAGCAATCCCCTCAGCTGCAATCACGTCGCCCAAGAACTTCACCTCATCCAACCAGGACTCACATTTTGAAAGCTTAGCATATAGCTGCTTCGCTTTCAAAATCTCCAACTCTGTCCTCAAGTGCTCTTCGTGCTCTCCTCGGGTCCTTGAATAAATCAAAATGTCATCAATAAACACTACAACAAACTTATCCAAGAACGGCCGGAAGATCCTGTTCATGTAGTCCATGAACACTGCGGGGGCGTTGGTCACACCGAACGGCATCACAACATATTCATAGTGACCATACCTAGTCCTGAAAGCAGTCTTCGGTATGTCACCCTCCTTCACCCTAATTGGGTGATATCCTGACCTCAAGTCAGGCTTAGAAAACACCGACGCACCCCTCAGTTGATCCATTAAGTCATCTATACGGGGAAGTGGATATTTGTTCTTAATGGTCAACTTGTTAAGCTGCCGGTAATCAACACACAGTCGACTAACTCCATCCTTCTTCCTTACTAATAACACTGGAGCACCCCAAGGCGAAACACTCGGCCGCACCAACTGCTTTTCCAACAAGTCCTCCAACTGACCCTTCAGCTCAACCAGCTCAGCAAGAGCCATCCTATAGGGAGCCACTGACACTAGCCCTGCACCTGGAACCAAATCAATGCTGAACTCCATCTCCCTAACAGGAGGCAATCCAGGCACCTCATCAGGGAACACCTCGGTATACTCCCTCACCACATCGATATCAGCTAAGACCCTCTCGGTCTCCACACTCATTGCAGCAAGCAGAAGACAGCACTCTACTCGATCTCTCAACAATGACTCAGCCTGGCCAGCTGAGATCAACAGCTTATCCTCCTCCTGAGGAAAGATCAACCGCCTATTGGCACAATCTATTAGAATGCGATTGGCAGATAACCAATCCATTCCCAAGATTATGTCAATATCCACCAAAGGTAAACAAATCAGGTTCACCTTGTACTTCTTCTCATTCACCACAACCGGGCAACCCACACACAATTCAGAAGCAATCACAGAAGCAGAAGCGGGCGTCGACACAAGCAGTCTCAACCCCAAATCACACACAGGCACACCTAACATAGCAGCACATGCATAAGATATAAAGGAATGCGTAGCACCAGAGTCAAAGAGAATCATCACATCCTTACCAGCAGCTTTGCCCTTCCCCTTCACAAGATCAGAAGAAGTCGAAGCCTCAGCACCTGTCAAGCCAAATACCCTACCAGTAGTAGTGGGTCTGTCACCCCTCTGAGTATCAGCTCTCTGTGCGCTACTCCTTTGAGTATCAGTCCTCTGCACATCACCCCTCGGAGTACTCCTCTCTGGTCTGCCTCTAGCAGGGCAGTTGGCTGACTCGTGGCCCATCTGATGACATCTGAAGCAACGGCTCTCCGTGTGTGGACAGTCCTTGACAAAGTGGGGCCCATCACACCTGAAACATCTCAGAGTGGCACCTCCACTCTGTCTACCTCTACTAGCAGTACTGGAAGATTGCCTACTGACAGGACCCCCTTGCTGTGATTGGGGCCTATCATACGGCTTCCTCTAACTCTCGCCCTTTTTGGACCTAGATGGTCCCCCAACAGTCCTCACAACCCGGTTGCCACCCTCCAACCGCTCCACCACTTTTGCCATCTCCACTAAGGCCGGAAACTCAGTGATGGCCATAGGCACCACCACCCTCTTCAGCTCATATCTCAATCCATCAGCAAACTTCCTGCATTTTCAGGCCTCAGCTATACCGTGCGAATAAAAATGAGCCAAGTGCTTGAATTTCATCGCATACTCAGAAACTGTCATCCCTCCCTGGTGTAACCTCATAAACTCAGCCTCCTTAGCGTGCCTCACCCTCTCAGGGAAGTACTTCTCCATGAACACCGTCCTGAAGCATTCCCAGTCAACTATAACTCCTCTGGCAGCAAGCATCTGATAGGTGCCTCTCCACCAATGTTCAGCCTCCCCAACAAGCATATACACAACATAAGCTAGCCTCCTCTCTAGAGGACATCCCAGGACAGTAAAGATCTTCTCTAGCTCACGGATCCAGCGGCCAGCTACCTCTAGATCTACATCTCCTGCAAACTGTGGAGGATTACACTTTCGAAACTCAACAAGATCTCGGCTTTCCTGCGACCCTGCAGGTCTTGCTGGACCAACTGCAGCTCTTGCTGCATCATCTCTATGGCACGGGCTATCTGCTCGTTGGTCTTAGTCATTGTCTACAAAAATTAACAGCATATTTAGCAATCAATAACTAAACCCAACAACAATCATCAGCACAATAGATCACAGCAATCAGCACAGCAAACATCACAGCATGACAGTACAACATAGAGCTAACACAGCAAAAGCCTAAAGGGACCACCCCCAAAGAGTGTCCACTAGACTTGACCTTGCTCTGATACCACTAAAGTGTAACGACCCGACGGGTCACTACACACGGCACAATACACTAGAAACACCAGACAGATAGAACAAGTATATAAATATAGGATCTAGAATATATAGATATACAAAGTTCTAGTCTGACTAGAGTTAGAGTGTACAAAAAGATACATCAATCAATTGCTACACCGAGTAGCTAAACAACAAAAAGACAAACATCCCAAGAGGATTAGCTCCAACTGCCAGCTACAGCCCAACTACCATCCACCGACCTATTCCTGCTCTGCTCCCATACATAGTATGATCATTGTAGTCCAAACATCATGGAAACAACAAAGGGTAAGCTAGTATAAAGAAATCAACATACATATATAATATATAAATAGAAATATCTACAGCTATCAACACACCCGCACAGCTTACACTACACTATAGTCATTCAGCTATATCAGCACCGCTCACCGGCTATAACAGCACCACCATAGTGGCTAACAGCACCGACATAGCGGCTATAACAACATACAGCTCAGCAATCAAACAGCACAGCACAATACATCAGCATACAACATAGCTAGTAGCATTCAACACACCTTACTACTTACACCTCAGCTCATCATTCTAGAGCACAACAATAACATATATAAAGCATTTAAATTTATCAATAACATCCTACTCAGCACAGCATAACATCAAATTCAGCTTAAAACAACCTCTTTCAGTAATTTCAGCAAAGTTTATCAGTTAATTTGCACATCAAGTTAACACCTTCTTGCGTGCCCAGCGTACCCATGGTTGCGCCCGGCGTGGCACATCCAAAGGTCACGAGGGGACCAGCGCGCCCGGGGCAAGCATACTCGCGCCTGGCGTGCCTCAGCCAGAGAACCCAAGGCTCTCACGCGCCTGGCGCAATATTCAATTGCGCCCAGTGCAAGCCCAGGCAGAGACTCAAGGGAGTCTCACGCGCCCGGCGTAGCCTAACCCGCGCCCAGCATGGGGAAGGCAGAGACCTAATGAATGGCTGCTCTTTCCTAGACATTGCGCCCAGCGCCCTCTTGGAAGAGACTCCCAAGGAGCCTCCGCACCCAGCGAGGTGAAACATGCGCCCAGCATGGCCCCAGAAAATGTGTCACCACTGTCATCGCGCCTGGCGCAAAGAACAACGCCCGACGCAAACATAACAGCAGCTTCCCCAAGTTCGAAGATTTCCTCCAAAACCTGCAAAATTCCACATATCTAACACATGCAAACCAGCCACAATACCACCTTTTCATCATAGAATCCAAAAATACCATCTTTTCACCCATGAATGCATCAATCGAGAAAAACCCAATTTCTCAAAAAAAACCCCAAAAGTTCATTTTCAGCAATCGCAATCCAGGAACATCAATCATCAAACAGCAATCTGAGCTTCTAGAGCTCGTTTTTAGCCAAATTACAGTAAAACTAACTTCCCTTACCTCGGTAGAAGATTCCGAGCTTAGGGATGAAGAAAATAGAGAAGAGGATTGAAGAAGAATTGAACAATCCAAAGGTGGAGAAAAGAAGGTTTTGAAACTCAGCTAGGAATCCTCAGTTACTTCGCACTGCCACCTTGAATCAACCAAAAAGAAGGGTCCCAAGCAAAGGAGTGAGCAAAGAGAAATGAGGGTTAGAGAGTTAGGGAAAGGAAAATAAATCCGTATGGGGTCTCACCAAAAAGCTTGAGCAACGAAGGAGGAGAAGAAGAGAGAAAATTCTGAGCACTCAGCTAGCACCACCCGACTCTAGCTCAGCACATAAAGTCACCAAGGGTAAAAGAAAGGAAAACAAGCCAAAGAGAGAAGGAATGAATGGGGAAGAAGAAGAGAGTGAAGGGAAAAGTTGAGAGGGAAGAAACGGGGCCTCATAGTTAAAGCCTGGAGAGGCTTTGCACTAAAAGAATACTTGGGTAGCTTCTTGAAAAGGCAAGTTAAAGAACACTTATTAGGCTCGGAACGACTATTCCCACCCTTGGAACGGACATTTCCAATGAAATTTTTAGTGTGTTTTGGTAACTTAGAATGGTCGTTCCCAAACCCTAAATCATGTGTAAATATAAGGTGTGGAATAGTCATTCCAGAGTTGGGAACGGTCATTCCCCTTCCCTGGGTGCCTATAAAAGTGTGTCCATGGCTCATTCTTCCACACACTTGACACATTGTATTCCCCCTTTTCTCTGTGATTTTTGAGTGATAGTGAGGTCTTTGTAGAGTGAAAGATTTCCAAAAAGCACCCCCTATACGAATGTTTTAAGAGATTTATAAAAGCTTGCTTTAGAGGTTCTAAACTCTTTCTCTTCCTCTCTCCTTCTTTTTATTTTCTTTATTTATAACTCTACTTGCATGAAATAGATTAGACAACATGTAGATAATAAAACAATATGCGTGTTGTAGGTTAATGTAAATTGTTGTATGTATAATAAAATAAAAGGGGTAGAAACTTAATTACATCGTTATTATGCCAAATTTGTCATAGTACCAAGTTAAGGCGTTGTGGAGTACCTAATACCTTCCCCACGCATAACCGACCCCCGAACCCGACTCTTGGCTTCACTATGGTCTTTCTCGATGTAGGGCATGCATGTTATAGGGGCAATTAAACCTAAAGCATCGAATGGACATAGGTTCATCCTCATAGCTATTGACTATTTCACCAAAATAGGTTCAAGCAATGTCATATGCCCACATGACTAAGAAGGTAAGAGTCAACTTTGTCTGAAAAAAATAATTTATCGATATGGGTCTCCTAGCAAAATCATAACTGACAACAAGTCCAATCTTAACAATAAGATGATGATTGAACTCTACGAGTCCTTCAAGATTTAACATCATAATTCCTCTCCCTATAACCCCAAGATGAATGGGGCACTTGAGGTAGCCAAAAAAAATATCAAAAAGATCATCTAGAAGATGGTAGTCACCTATAAAGACTAACATGAGATGCTACCATTTTCTTTGAACGTGTATCGGACTTCCGTTCACACGTCAACTGGGGCAACACCTTTCTCTTTAGTTTATGGGATGGAGGCAGTATTACCCATCAAAGTGGAAATCCCTTCCTTGAGAGTACTCATGGAAGGCAAACTCTCTAAGTCAGAATGGGTTTAGAGTAGGTTTGATCAACTAAACCTCATCGAAGAAAAGAGGTTGAATGCCATATGCCATGGGAAGGCGTATCAAAAAAGGATTAAGAAGGATTTTGATAAGAAAATCCATCCTTGAAGCTTTTACGAAGGTGATCTCGTGCTCAAGAAGCTTCTACCTACTCAAAAAGACAAGATAAGGAAATGGGCACCTAATTATGAAGGTCCATATGTGGTTAAACAAGCTTTCTCTGGAGGAGCATTGATCCTCACTGACATGGGTGGCGAAGAGCTTTCTCACCCAATTAATTATGACGTAGTGAAGAAATATTACGCCTGAAGATGATGCTTGTAAAAGCCCACTAGGATAAAAACCCATAAAGGGCATCCTAGGCAAAAGTTAGGGAAAAAGTAAAGGCCCGTCGAGACAAGGGTCTTAGGCAAAAAAAGGGTGAAAGATCCCACTAGGATACGTCCTAGGCAAAAATTAGGGATTAAAAGAATAAGAGATAAAGACAGCAAGTGATTATTATTCAAGTTGAAAATCGAAGGACGACCGAGATATTTCTTCAAGAAGCCAAGGCTCTAAGAAGATTCTGCTCAAAGTTTAGACATGTAGTTTAGGATAATTAGAGGATGATTATGCTTATTTTCCAAGGAAATGTTTGTTTAAACCTTAAACACTAGCCTACCTCGGCCACCTATTCTTTCTAAACACCTTTTGTATTCCTTTCTGCATAAATCTTTTGAAATCAATAAAATGTCCTTTCTGAAGTTAGACATGAAACACATAGAAGAGGGGGTTGAATATGTCTGTGTGTAAGAAGGAATTTTAAACCATTTTTTCAAGAGTAATGTTCTTCGTCCAATGAATTTTTAGATACTAGACGTTATGCAGAATTTGCTTAACATAAGGTCATTGCGTTTGAAAGATTTATTGTCTGTTGAAGGAAAATGTTTCATGTAACAATGATGATTAAAGTTCTTGCATTTTCCTTTCTGAGATAGTTTCATTTAAAGATAAGCAGTAGATAAAACTTTTCAGGGTATAAAATATATATTAAACAAAGTTTGCGTCTGCGTTTGGAAAATGATTTCACTAAGAGATTCTGGGTGGATGAAGTTTTTCACAAAGATTTAACTAGTAATGAAGATATGCGTCTAAAAGAAATATGGCAAGTAGTGAACATCATTTTATACTGGTTCGCTCAGACTAAGCTACGTCCAATCTCCTTCAACTAAAGGGTTCCACTAAATATGAAATAAAGTACAATGAGTATTATAGACCACCCAGGTCACGACCACTCCTGGTCACGAGTATTCCAGACCACCCAGGTCACGACCACTCCTGGTCATTAGTATTCTCAACCACTCCTGGCTGGCTAGCTCCACTCACCAGCTCTAGTATTCTTAAACCACTTCTAGTTCTCCAAGTATTCTCGACCACTCTTGGCCAACCAGCTTCACTCACCAGCGCTAGTATTTTCTTATCAGCCACTTCTGGCTAGTAGTGAGTATTCTTGACCACCTCCTGGCCCGTCAGCTTCACTCGTCGACGCTAGTATATTCATATCAGCCACTTCTAGCTAGTAGTGAGTATTCTTTGACTAGCCTCTCCAAGCTTTACAAGTATTCTTTTCCTAGCTTCTTTAGGCTTTACAAATGATAGACGTATAATCAAGTTTGAGTGTTTGGGTTACTCTCATAGAGAGGATACATATATGATCTACACTCTAAGGTTTCACTACCTTAGTCCTACAGAGATTCTGAGTGTGTGGGTTACTCTTTACAAAGAGGATACATAAGATTACAACACTCACTAAGGTCTCCTTCCTACTCGGAATACCTTAGACTACAGAAATGAATACAATGATACATTATAGATTTGACAATGAAGAATCGATCTCTGACTTCTCTGTTTTTCTTTTGGGCTTGATATCGCTTTTGTTTGTATTCAAAGATCTAGCCTTTTAAGGTTTGAAGTAGTGATATATATATATATGGTGTCATAGAAATTTGCTCGTTGCAAGTGTCTGTTGAAGCAAATATGGTCGTTCATGACTAGTTTGGTCTTCTCATTTAATGCTCAGGTTCTTGCATTAAATGTTGCTTCTCGTTCATGAACATTGCGTTTAATTTTCTTCATTTGTTAGTTGCTGTGTCTGACCTTAGATAATACCTAGAAACCTTTTTTTCCTTTTCTGGTCTCAGAGCTGTAGAGTGTTGTCCTTATCTGAAAAAGTGATGTACCTTTTTATGACACATGCATGCTTTTGCTTTTGCGTGCTTCTCTTCTTCTTTGTCTCTTCATTTAGATCACGCGTTTTACATTGAGAGCTCTTGTATGATCATAGAAGATGCCTTGGTTTGTTTCTTGAGACTTGATTCTTTAATTTCTTGCGTGGCAGTCTTCGTCTTCGTCTGTTGGTTATGTGCATATCCATTTTGACCTTCGTCTCAAGGTCTGGGTTTAATGCTTTGACTTTTCTTTGATCTGGTCAACAATGTGAATAGACAGACATTGTTTCCGTCTGGAGTGTCTTTTTGTCTGTGTTGTCCTTCGTCTGATGCATAGTTGAATTTCTTCTTATCTTTGTCTCATGCTTGGTCCATTTCTTCATGTTGACTAGAGGTTGTTCTTAACACACATCCATCTGATATTGGACTCATAGTCGTCTGGTGCACATATTGTACTTTGTCTATTCAATTAGCTTGAATTGTCTAGTTCTTATGATGTTCCTTGCCTTAACTGTTCTTTTAACAGAGTTGACCATTTGGCTTCTTCTGATATTCGACACAACTTTTCTTGTTCCGGGTTTGGTCTTGTTTTGGCTTTTCTTCTGATACTCCAATGTCTCTTTCTTGTAGTACCCCTCATCTGGTGTTTGTTAAATGTTCTTCCGTCCATGAGCAGACCTAGTTTTGATGCTTGACTAGCCACCATCTAATTCTCTTGTTTAGTTTGCATAGGCTTCATGGATTCTTGCTTTTAATACATCTGATCTTGCATTAAATGTTTGCTTGTTGAATCTGCGTTTCATGAAGTCTTTTGTACCATTTGTTTGCTTCTATATCTGACATTACTCATGACCTAGATATCTCTGTACTTTCCTGATATTGTAGCTATAGAGGCATTGTCCTTTGTTGACTGGTAGGCTAGGGGGGGAATTTGTTGGGGATACTCGAAAGCCATATCACCCGAAA